TGTTTCCAGGCTATGATCTATGTTTTTATACAGTCCTACAAAATCTGCTTAGCATAGCACAATAAAGTATACTCTACTTACCTTTGACCAGCATACAAAGTCACTGCCGTAACCAAGGGCGCTGATTGAGGGCTGTCAATATCTGTCGGTGTCGATCGTACTTTAGGTAAAGAGGTGCTAACTTGTAATAAGGGCATAAAACCAACTACATCAACAACTACAGGAAAATCATCCTTGTTCTCCATGTTGTCCTTAGTCAATGGGCAGGTACTCTCTGTGCCTAGAACACTTATCGTATAACCTGCAAACACAACATGGCACAACATGGCATTTAACAAATTTACAATAGTTTAATGTGGTATGCCCTATTATTTACCACAGTTGGGTCATCAAATCGTCGAGATTGTTGTAGATCCATGAGACAAAGTCAAAGTTATCCTTACAACATAGCTACAACTGTCATAGGGCTATTAAGGAAATAGCTATGACAGCTATAGCCATTTTATGAGGAWGATTTATGAAGGTGCATGCGATGGTTTTTGGCAAAAGCTGTGCTGTCTTATCTAGCCTTAAAGGTGCTCTCTTCAGTAACCTTTCCCTAGCCTGCGTGGCGGCTCTAGGGAAAAGGGGGAGGGGGAAAACGGAAGGGGAGGGAGTGGGGAAGCGGAGCAGAAAAAAGGAGAGGCTCTCCTTTCTGCTCTGCCTCCCCATCCCCTCCCCTTCCATTTTCTCCCTCCCCCCTCCCCTAGAGCCGCCACGCAGGCTAACCTTTCTCTAATCATTATTTTAAATCCAAAAAGGTTTAATGTCATTTGGTGCTTACGAGACTCAACATACCTGTTATTTTTAGTGTGCCTTTATTATGTGGTATTCCCAATAACATTACTGAATGTGGTCCAGTCTTTGGTGGCAATGAAAGATGAGCAGGAAAAGGCTCAAAGTCTACACCTTCTATACATAGAGCCTACAAAAAAACAATTAAAATAATGGTAAACTAACTTGGGCAAAAGCACTAGGGTATGACTCCATAATAATGCCTATGCGTTGACATGTTTGATTCCAAGAGACAATGTGAAGTGATGCCAATTTGCACAAAAAATGCACGCTTGCAGTAATTGGAGTATTTGCACTTTTAATTTATAGCCCTAAAGAATCTCAATAAAAGCTGTTTTTATGTTTTCTTGTAGAAATGACACAATTAGCTTTATTTTTTCATATATAAGAAAATAAATACTTGATTTTCTAACAGAAATATCAATATCTTCTATAAGCAGCTCTTATAAATTCAATTGCTGAATGCCAGACCACAAGTTAAGCAAATGACAGCTTGTCTATTTCCATTTAAGGCAGGATTATACAACAACATACCATTTTCTTAACCTTGAGTTCAAATGGCATAGTATTATAGATCTCCATGGAAACCTGTCCGACTTCTCCTTGAACCCACAATGTACCTGGAGATCAGACGTAACATTTTAATGTTTAAATCTGGACAAAAGTTTTAAAAAACAGGCACACAATCACTCACTACAACATGCTAAAATGCTGTGTAGCATATTGGATTGAGATAACAAACAATCAATGCTAAGATACCAGTAGCAAGAGAAACTATAAATTTCTCGATTGCACTATCAGATAGATCGATAGATAGATAGATAGATAGATAGATCGTTTAATAAAGAAATACACATTGCAGCCAAGGGCTGAATCACGTGGATAACAAGTTATAAAAGAAATTATAAATAGATACTAAAAAAGGTAAAACCATAAATACACAATCAATAGATTTCAGTCAGCTAAATCGTTCCATTGCATGACTTATGATAAATGATTTTTTAGTCTGTCTGTTCGGCAATGGGGGATATCAAAGTATCTCATTCTCCTCAGTTTTCTGGAGTTGGATGCCTTCGTCGGTAGAAGGGAGGCAAGTTTATGGTCTGATTTATTTATTATCGCTTCGAAGAGGTCACTGGACAATGCTTCACGTCTTGCTGACAGTGTTGTTAGTTTAGCTGCCTGTCAGCATCTAGTCTCCTACTAGAAGTACTTTTTTTTGCTTCCAAGAACATTTTGCAAATCATTTTCTTACTTTTTTTCTTTTTCTGATCTTTGGGATTCCTTCGCAGTGAAGAGAAAATAAAGGGACCAATTGAAGGAGAGTTAACAGCAGATGTGGCTTTTCTACCCACTGGTTTAAGATGCATTGGTAATTGATGAACCTTGAAAGATCTATAAAAAGAGCAATAGATTAAGAGTTAGAGAAACCTCATGGGAGTGGTGAGGGGATATATTTGTCACTAACCTTACTAGTAGTATTATGGTCAATGAAACCTCATGGGAGTGGTGAGGGGATATATTTGTCACTAACCTTACTAGTAGTATTATGGTCAATGAAACCTCATGGGAGTGGTGAGGGGATATATTTGTCACTAACCTTACTAGTAGTATTATGGTCAATGAAACCTCATGGGAGTGGTGAGGGGATATATTTGTCACTAACTTTACTAGTAGTATTATGGTCAATAAAACCTCAGGGGGGAGATATGGGGATTGTTTGTCACTAGGCTTTCTGAATGAAGGGGTACAGTAGTCCTGAGAAACGTCATGGGAGTGGTGTCGGGATGTTTTTGTGACTCACCTTTAAAAGAGAGTATTTTTTTCAGGGAAACCTTGGGGAGGGGGTGTGGGGATAGTTTGTCACTAGGCTTTTTGAGTGAAGGGGTTGCCCCGAGAAACCTCATGGGAGTGGTGTAGGGATATTTTGTCACTAACCTTACAAGTGGCATTTTGGTCAGCGAAACCTCAGGAAAGAAGTGTAGAGATAGTTTGTCATTAGGGCTGCTGGGTGAAGATGGCACTGATCCTGAACACTGTTTTGATAATGTGTCTAGTCCTCCAGCAAGGTCCGTTAGCTCAGCATCACTCAGATGCTCATGCATTGTATGAAGAAGAAATGTCATGTGCCTAAGAAAAACAACCAAGTACCTCACAATATGAAAGGCAAGAATGCATTTATAAGTGAATTAACAAGCACTATACCAGAGCAACCTATAGTGTGACCCCTTTTTATTCCTCGGTTTCACGTTACGCCATCGCTGCCATGTTGGATGACGATAACAAAGCATTCCTCATTAGCTTTGAGTTTTCAATTCAAGCACTTTTCAAGGATTTAAGGACTCGCACAGACCATGTTGATCATATGGTTGAAAGCCAAGAATATGTCATTGAGGAAATGTACATACCTAACAGCAAGTGCAGGGTCTCCAAGTCTACGAGCTGTATACACTAACTCATGCAATAGTCGTATCTGTAATGTTGGCCAGCCATTGGGATGACCTTCCAGTTATAGGAAATTAATGAAAGAAAGTTATATATCATGGCTAGATCAAGAATACATTTTAATAAAATTATGGCTTTTATTTAAATATTGATAATGTTGGCTCACCTTTGAGGAATTTCAGTGGATCTAAATCAATATTATAACCTTTGATAGCTTCTAAGAGCAGAGAATATGACTGAAAATAGAAAATTGTAATGCAAAATTAATATAAAAACACATCCATAATACAGGAAGTCAATGAGCCAGTTGATCAGTAAAATATGCAATCAATCATTCAACTACTTAATCCAAGGGTCTTTCTCCCAGAATTACATCCTTCCTAGCACTACAACTTTCCTTTATTTAGAATCATGTATCTCATAGTGCCATGCAGTCCTTACATTAATCTTTAGATTCTAATTACTGCAACCTCACATCTATTTCAACCTGATCTGCTCCCAGTCTGACCTTGTAGCTCAGCTGGTAGAGCATCGGTAGTACAAATGTGAGGGTCTTAGGTTCGAATTATTTTGAATTCATTTCCCAAGGTCTATCTCCCAGAATTATTCAACCAAATTAACCAAAATACATGTATCCCTATTTAAACTATCAAGGCATACTTACAGCAGCCCATGCTTGAGCAGGAAGAGAGTGAGAAACACACTGCATGGCTGCCACCCTAGTGAAGAAGGCTGCCTTCCTATGAAATCCTAGTTCCCTGTATAATTGAGCTGCMGAACTGTATCTCTGAATCTAAGAAAAAAAGGCAGCGTTGTAAGACAAAGTAAAATGAATGTACAGTACTGCACACATTAGTAAAGTGTAATGAATTCATATGATGGTCATTGTAGATAGAGCGGATCTCGCATGAGTGGGACACCTTTACCGCACGGTTACCGCACAGTTACCGGACCTGGCCTTCACAATTTTGGTGAACCAATGGGGCACTAGAATTTGGTTACAGTACGATTACGGTCATAGTACAGTACCGTCCGTTTCCCACTCATACGAAATCCGCTCTAATAATATAAAGAATAAGATTTTTATCTACACTGCGACGATCATATAAATTCATTACACATTTAACACTGCAGTTTGGACCATTACTTCATCATTAGTAATTAAATTACAATTCACTCATGAGTACAAGATACAATTAATAACATAAGCAAATTCACAATTCAGTTGCTAGGAAAATAGTGATTTTTATTGCATGGTCAAATGAAGATGAGTGTAGAGCAAAATTA